AATTTACCTGCTTGACACTCCTGGACATTGCATTGATCATCCTAAGAATGCTGCCTTTGGATCTACCTTGTCAGAGTCTGTCAGTCGAATCATGTTGAGTCATTGTCGTTTGGGTCATTTGTCTTTTTTTGCTTTAAGTCATCTATTTCCTGAACTGTTTAAGGGAGTCAGTGTGCCAGTCTTAATTGTGAGTCTTGTYAGTTATCAAAGCATTGTAGAAACAATTACCCTTTGAGCAATAAAAGATCCTCTTTACTTTTTAATATTGTGCACTCTGATGTGTGGGGGCCTTACCACTTATCTTCTATGGGGGGCTACAGATATTTCATCCTGTTTATTGATGACTTTTCTAGATTCACTTGGATATATCTAATGAAATCTTGTGAAGAAGTCCCAAGACTTGTGAGGCAATTTCATGAATTTGTTTTAACTCAGTTTGATACCAGAATCAAGATTTTCAGATCTGACAATGCAAAAGAGTATTTTGAGAAGAGTTTATCCTTGTATCTCTCTGACATGGGAGTTGTTCATCAAAGTTCTTGTGTTAGAACCCCTGAACAGAATGGAGTTGCTGAAAGAAAAAATAGGCATATTGTTGAAGTTGCAAGGAGCCTTTCGTTTGCCTCACATGTTCCCACAAGATTTTGGGGTGATGCTGTTCTCACTACTACCTATCTCATAAACCGTATGCCATCTAGGGTTCTAGGGTTTAAATCCCCCTTCAGTCTTCTTCATCCAGACAAGGATCTCTTCCCGATTCCTCTCCGTGTGTTTGGCTGCACCTGTTATGTTCACATTCCAAGTGCCCAGAGACATAAGTTTGAACAAAAAACCCACAAATGCATCTTCCTTGGTTATTCCCCCACACAAAAGGGTTATTGTTGTTTTGATCCAAAGACTGGCACTCGATATGTCTCCATGGATGTTACCTTTGATGAACTTTCTCCTTTTTATGGGTCCTCTTAGGAAGGACATTGTCAACAGGGGGAGAGTTTGTCACAAGTGTTTGCTCTTCCTCTCCCTGTCCCAGTTGAGTCTCTTGATGAGCCTGTGTCCTCACAAAATGAATCAAGGGAGGACCAGTTACTTCATTCTTCTTATCCTAGTGCTCCTATCTCTTTACCTCCTTGTCCTACCCACAATCCCAAGGTGTATCAAAGGCAAAGGTTCAGGAATGAGTAGGTTGTTTCTCTTATAGCAAATGAGCCCCATACACTTCCAATCGCAGATGAGTCAACAGGTGCTGTTTTAACCTCTTTGGAACCATCTTTCCCGGATCTTGATGTTCCTATTGCTGTTAGGAAAGGAAAACGGAAGTGCACTGCACACTGCATTTCCAAACACCTTTCTTATGACCTACTTTCTCCTTCATACTTTGCTTATCTCTCTTTAGTTGCTTCTAACCCTATTCCTAGATCTGTGTCAGAAGCTCTTGAGATTCCAGAATGGAGAGATGCCATGCAATCTGAGATGGATTCCCTATACAAAAATGATACTTGGGAAGTGGTGGATTTGCCTGAAGGGAAGGATCCGGTTGGTTGCAAGTGGGTCTTTACCATTAAATACCGGGCTGGTGGGACTATTGAGAGGTACAAGGCCAGACTGGTTGCCAAAGGGTACACACAGACGTATGGGATTGATTACTTGGAGACCTTTGCTCCTGTTGCGAAGATGACATCTGTGAGAGTTCTCTTATCTCTGGCAGGTCACTTTGATTGGCCCCTTTATCAGTTGGATGTAAAGAATGCATTTCTGAATGGTGACTTACATGAGGAAGTCT